TTTTTGTTCCAGCATGACCATGCCCCTGTGTACAAAGCCAGCTCCATAAAGACATGAGTGTGATGAGTTTGGTGTGGAGGAACTCAAGTGTCCTGCACAGATCCCTGACCTCAACCTTACTGAACATCTTTGGGATCAGGTCTTCTCATCCAGCATCAGTAATTGAACTCAATCCAACTGAAGACCTTTGCGATCAGGTCTTCTCATCCAACATCAGTAATTGAACTCAACCCAACTGAAGACCTTTGCGATCAGGTCTTCTCATCCAGCATCAGTAATTGAACTCAACCCAACTGAAGACCTTTGCGATCAGGTCTTCTCATCCACCATCAGTAATTGAACTCAACCCAACTGAGGACCTTTTCGATCAGGTCTTCTCATCCAGCATCAGTAATTGAACTCAACCCAACTGAAGACCTTTGCGATCAGGTCTTCTCATCCAGCATCAGTAATTGAACTCAACCCAACTGAAGACCTCTGCGATCAGGTCTTCTCATCCAGCATCAGTAATTGAACTCAACCCAACTGAAGACCTTTGCGATCAGGTCTTCTCATCCACCATCAGTAATTGAACTCAACCCAACTGAAGACCTTTGCGATCAGGTCTTCTCATCCAGCATCAGTAATTGAACTCAACCCAACTGAAGACCTTTGCGATCAGGTCTTCTCATCCACCATCAGTAATTGAACTCAACCCAACTGAAGACCTTTGCGATCAGGTCTTCTCATCCAGCATCAGTAATTGAACTCAACCCAACTGAAGACCTTTGCGATCAGGTCTTCTCATCCACCATCAGTAATTGAACTCAACCCAACTGAAGACCTTTGCAATCAGGTCTTCTCATCCACCATCAGTAATTGAACTCAACCCAACTGAAGACCTTTGCGATCAGGTCTTCTCATCCAGCATCAGTAATTGAACTCAACCCAACTGAAGACCTTTGCGACCAGGTCTTCTCATCCAACATCAGTAATTGAACTCAACCCAACTGAAGACCTTTGCGATCAGGTCTTCTCATCCACCATCAGTAATTGAACTCAACCCAACTGAGGACCTTTGCGATCAGGTCTTCTCATCCAGCATCAGTAATTGAACTCAACCCAACTGAAGACCTTTGCGATCAGGTCTTCTCATCCAGCATCAGTAACTGAACTCAACCCAACTGAAGACCTTTTGCGATCAGGTCTTCTCATCCAGCATCAGTAATTGAACTCAACCCAACTGAAGACCTTTGCGATCAGGTCTTCTCATCCAACATCAGTAATTGAACTCAACCCAACTGAAGACCTTTGCGATCAGGTCTTCTCATCCACCATCAGAAATTGAACTCAACCCAACTGAAGACCTTTGCGATCAGGTCTTCTCATCCAACATCAGCATCTGTCCTAAACCCTGAAAACCTTTCTCTTTAAAGAAGCCTATCCTGCTTCTACCTCGTAAACCTCCATCAGCTCATCCCCCCACAGCTATTACCTTTTTTTTTTACTCAACACCTCCTCCTAGATTGTAAGATCTAAGGAGCAGGGCCCTCTGTTTTCCTCTTGTACCAAATTGTATTGTAATTGTAATGTGTACCTTTGTTTTGTAAAGCGCTGCGCAAACTGTTGGCGCTATATAAATCCTATATAATAATAATAACTCTACAAGAACACCTTTGGGATCAGGTCTTCTCATACAGCATCAATACCTGATATCAACTCTACTGAACAACTCTGGGATCAGGTCTTCTTATACAGCATCAATACCTGACATCAACCCTACTGAACAACTCTAGAATCAGGTCTTCTCATCCCACATCAGTATCTGTCCTCAGCCCTACTGAACATCTTTGGGATCTGGTCTTCTCTTTTAATATCAGTGTCTGACCTCAAAGCTACTGAACACCTCTGGGATCTGGTGTTCTCATCCAACATTTTTAACTGACTTCAACCCGACTGAAAACCTTTGCGATCGGGTCTTCTCATCCAACATCGGTATCTGTCCTCAACCCTACTGAACACCTTTTAGATCAGGTCTTCTCATCCAACATCGATACCTTGTCTCAACCCCACTGAACACCTTTGGGATCAGGTCTTCTCATCCAATGTCAGTACCTGACCTCAACCCTACTGAACACCTTTGGGATGAATTGAAACACCAACTGTGAACCAGGTTCTTTCCTCCAACATCAGTATCTGACTTCAACCCAAATGGACACCTTTAGGTTGAATTGGAATGTCCATTGTGTGCAAGGTGTACTCATCCACCATCAATACCTGACCTCAGCCCAACTGAACACCTTTAGAATTAATTGGAATGCCCACTGTGTGCCAAGTCTTCTCGTCCAACATCAATATCTGACCTCAACCCCGTTGTAAACCTTTAGAATCAGATCTTCTCATCTAACATCAGTACCTGACCTCAACCCAACCAAACACCTTTGGGATGAGTTGGTACTCTGACAGTGAGCCAGGTCTCTTCGGCCAACATCAGCAACTCCATAATAATGGTTGTGGATTTGGAATAGGATATCCAAAAAGTTCATATAAGAGTAATGGTCAGGTTTCCACAAACCTTTTTCCATATAATATATGTTGCTGAGAGTGATGGGCTAGAGGATATCTATCGATTTTGGGTGACTTATTTCAGTGCTGGAACCAGATGCCATAAGAACCTGACCGCAGTGGCGGCTCTGCATTGCGTATATTTAGAAGCTGCCCAGGACCCAGTTCTTCTGGGGGGTCTATGCCTGCCCGTGCCAGTGTTTTTGGACCTAACGCTGAAAGTTCAGCATATAATTACTCTGGTGCTACCTCTTATGCCAAGCATTCTACTGGTCCCCCGCTCCCTGTGAGGAATTGGGGAGTGGTACCTGATTTTGCCAGGTACGAACTCCCACTTCTGCCTAGGTGAGGAGAATTTTTCCTTCCCCCTCCCTCCCCATAGTCTTCTTGGACACATTGCAGGTCCCAAAAGACTACAGGACCATTTTACAAGGCTCAGCGCTACTCACGCATGCGCAGTGGGCACCCGGCTGTGAAGCCACCAGCTGTCACAGCCAGATGCCCACATTTAGGATGCCAATGCCGGGGAGTGAGGACAACCGGTGAAAGGGGCTGCGGTGAGCACACCGCTGGATCGTGGAACAGGTGAGTATTTTTTTTTTGTAGTTTTGACTGGAGCTTTAATCATTTCACAATGGCATAATGCAGGGCTTAAAATTTCCACTCGCCTGCTCACATTTGGCGAGTGAAAATAATGTGGGGGTGAGTCACTGGCAAAGCCCGAGCCACTATAAGGCAGCACAGGCAGCTGGGTAGACAGACACTGTCTCCTGGCACACCTATCATGTCACAGTAGCCCCACCTACAGCCCCAGGGCACGCCCACCTGCTAGTAGCTAAGAACTTGAAATTTTAAGCCTTGGCCAGGGGTGGACTGACAACTCATGGGGCCCCGGGCAATAGGGGATCATGGGGCCCCTGTGTCCTTGCCCAAACTCAAAAAAGCCTATGAAAAAGGTACCAGGGGCATCTCATGGGGCCCCCTACTGACCCCGGGCCCTCTGGCAGCGCCCGAGTTTCCAAATGGTCAGTCCGCCCCTGGCCCTGGCATAATGCATATATATGGCAGTAAGTTTGGTAAACTTCAAAGCCATTCTGTGATGACAGCATGATAGCTGTGGGCATCCAAGAACAGTGACCAAGCTGCTCCCATGCCTCACTGTTTGGACGGGCTCACGATCACGTGACAGCCAATCACAGTGATTACATGATCAGGAAGTCCTGGCTTTCAGATCCTTTAAATGGCAAAGGGTTAAAAAAAGGTCATTATTTATGATCCTCTTTTCATCAATGAATGGCCACAAAAGAATCCAACAGTCCAGAAATACAACACAGACTAGCACTTGGAAGATCAAAGATGAAAGACCTAGAAAATAATACTTCAAACGTACTGATGTGTCTAAAAAATAAAGATGAGCATTGTCCAGACCACGATATTTTCTGTTGCTGTTTATCAATGTGAAAGCCGGACAATGAAGAAGCAGGAAAAGTATTGACGTCTTTTAACTTTGGTCTTGGTGAAAAATTCTAAGAATGCAGTGGACAGCAAGGAAAACAAATACATGGATCCTTCAACAAATCCAACCCAACCTTTCACTGGAAGCCTAGATAACTAAAATGAAGCTCTCTTGTTTTGGACATATTATGAGAAGAATCCGCTAACTGGATAAAGGCAATACTGCTGGTAAAAGTTGAAGAGAAGAGGACAACCAAAGGTAAGGTTGATGGATACAGTCACAGAAAGTATAAACGTGCCAAGACTGAAGACCGGAACTGAAGATAGATCATTCTGGAGAAACAATATCAACCTGGTCACCAGAAGTCGACATTGTCTTGATGACCAACAATTTAAGGAGGATTCTTCCCATCAGTCACCAATGTAAGGGGCATTCTTCCCACCAATGTAAGGGACATTCTTTCCATTGACCACCAATGTAAGGAGCATTCTTCCCACTGACCTCCATTGTATGGAGCATTCTTCCCACCGATCACCAATGTAAGGAACATTCTTCTCACTGATAACCAATGTAAGGGACATTCTTCCCACCGACCACCAATGTAAGGAACATTCTTCCCACTGATCACCAATGTAAGGAGCATTCTTCCTACTGACCACCAATTTAAGGGGCATTCTTCCCACTGACCACCAATGTAAGGAGCATTCTTCCCACCGATCACCAATGTAAGGGACATTCTTCCTACCAACCACCAATGTAAGGAGCATTCTTCCCACTGACCACCAATGTAAGGAGCATTCTTCCCACTCATCACCAATGTAAGGGACATTCTTCCCACCAACCACCAATGTAAGGAACATTCTTCCCACTGACCACCAATGTAAGGAACATTCTTCCCACCAACCACCAATGTAAGCAGCATTTCTTCCCACTGATTACAAATGTAAGGGACGTTCTTACCACTGACCACCAATGTAAGGGACGTTCTTCCCACTGACCACCAATGTAAGGGGCATTCTTCCCACTCACCACCAATGTAAGGGACATTCTTCCCACTCACCACCAATGTAAGGAACATTCTTCCCACTGACCACCAATGTAAGGGACATTCTTCCCACTGACCACCAATGTAAGGGACTTTCTTCCCACTGAACACCAATGTAAGGAGCATTCTTCCCACTGACCACCAATGTAAGGGGCATTCTTCCCACTGACCACCAATGTAAGGGGCATTCTTCCCACCAATGTAAGGGACATTCTTCCCACTGACCACCAATGTAAGGGACATTCTTCCCACTGACCACCAATGTAAGGGCATTCTTCCCACTGATCACCAATGTAAGGAGCATTCTTCTCACTGACCACCAATGTAAGGAGCATTCTTCTCACTGACCCCCAATGTAAGAAGCATTCTTCTCACTGACCACCAATATAAGGGACATTCTTCCCACTGACCACCAATGTAAGGGACGTTCTTACCACTGACCCCCAATGTAAGGGGCATTCTTCCCACTGACCTCCAATGTAAGGGACATTGTTCCCACTGATCCCCAATGTAAGGGACACTCTTCCCACTCACCCCCAATGTAAGGGACACTCTTCCCACTGACCACCAATGTAAGGTATATTCTTCACACTGACCCCAATGTAAGGGATATTCTTCCCACTGACCCCCAATGTAAGGAGCATTCTTCCCACTGACCACCAATGTAAGGGACACTCTTCCCACTGACCACCAATGTAAGGGGCATTCTTCCCACTGTCCTCCAATGTAAGGGACATTCTTCCCACTGATCACCAATGTAAGGAGCATTCTTCCCACTGACCTCCAATGTAAGGGGCATTCTTCTTACTGACCACCAATGTAAGGAGCATTCTCTCACTGACCACCAATGTAAGGGACATTCTTCCCACTGACCCCCAATGTAAGGAGCATTCTTCTCACTGACCACCAATGTAAGGGACATTCTTCCCACTGACACCAATGTAAGGTGCATTATTCCCACGGACCACCAATGTAAGGGTCATTCTTCCCACTGACCACCAATGTAAGGGTCATTCTTCCCACTGACCACCAATGTAAGGAGCATTCTTCCCACTGACCCCCAATGTAAGGAGCATTCTTCTCACTGACCACCAATGTAAGGGACATTCTTCCCACTTATCACCAATGTAAGGGACATTCTTCCCACTGACCCCCAATGTAAGGAGCATTCTTCTCACTGACCACCAATGTAAGGGACATTCTTCCCACTGACACCAATGTAAGGTGCATTATTCCCACGGGCCACCAATGAAAGGGACGTTCTTACCACTGACCCCCAATGTAAGGGGCATTCTTCCCACTGACCTCCAATGTAAGGGACATTCTTCCCACTGATCACCAATGTAAGGGACATTCTTCCCACTGACCACCAATGTAAGGGACATTCTTCCCACTGATCACCAATGTAAGGGACATTCTTCCCACTGACCACCAATGTAAGGGACATTCTTCCCACTGATCACCAATGTAAGGGACATTCTTCCCACTGACCACCAATGTAACGGACATTCTTCCCACTGATCACCAATGTAAGGGACATTCTTCCACTGATCACCAATGTAAGGGACATTCTTCCCACTGATCACCAATGTAAGGAACATTCTTCCCACTGACTCCCAATGTAAGGGATATTCTTCCCACTGACCCCCAATGTAAGGAACATTCTTCCCACTGACCCCAATGTAAGGGATATTCTTCCCACTGATCACCAATGTAAGGGAATTCTTCCCACTGATCACCAATGTAAGGGACATTCTTCCCACTGATCACCAATGTAAGGAACATTCTTCCCACTGACCCCAATGTAAGGGACATTCTTCCCACTGACCTCCAATGTAAGGGACATTCTTCCCACTGATCACCAATGTAAGGGACATTCTTCCCACTGACCCCCAATGTAAGGGACATTCTTCCCACTGACCCCCAATGTAAGGGACATTCTTCCCACTGACCCCCAATGTAAGGGACATTCTTCCCACTGATCACCAATGTAAGGGACATTCTTCCCACTGACCCCCAATGTAAGGGACATTCTTCCCACTGACCCCCAATGTAAGGGACATTCTTCCCACTGACCCCCAATGTAAGGGACATTCTTCCCACTGACCACCAATGTAAGGGACATTCTTCCCACTGATTTCCATGCTAATGTAGAATGAGCCGTGGATGTAGTAATATTTAGCAGGGGTTCCCTGAAAACTGAAAACTTCAGTCCAAGGGGAAGTCCTCCATGTTCCAGGCCCTTGCTGTCTGTGACCATGGTTACAAGGATGAATCTAAAACGAAGGGAAAAAAGTTTTGCCTTCAACTTGATTGGCTCCCATGTAGAATATGAAACAAAACCTAAACCAAGTTGTGGTATCTGTCCATATACACCGGTATCCTATAGAGGGAGCCAGCAGACCAAACATGACGTTCAGTGAACCGCTGCCGTACGAAGCTCACATTGAGGACACGTCGCAAATTCACGGAAAACATTTCATTTCAGCGAAAAAGCAGAAAAGTTGAAAGCGATGTCACCGTTTTTGTCTGTGTCCCCCCACTGGTGAGATTTTACAGCCCAACTACACTATAAGCCCCATCCTGGCATTACTGGGGGGGCATTTCATCACGTGGCATGCCCTATACTGCCCCCTCTGGTCACTGGAGGAACAGCTAATGGAGTTCAGGGGAGACATCAGGGATCCTAATAGACCCCTGATGTCTCAGTAAAGAGAACCTGTCACAGCAAAGTCAGCCACTTATGTGATAGCAATAAAGCGGAGTTAAAAAAAAAGTTTAAAGAAATTAAAGTGACATCCAAGTACATACAGACCCCCCCCCCCCACCCCAGCACACACACATGAACATAAACACGTGTGTTGGGGTGCCTACATATGAAAACATTGTCTCCGCCCCCTACCCACCTCCGAGCTCTTGCCCTTGGTTCTGCTCCTACCCACCTCCGAGTACTGCCCCTAGTACTTAGGGGACACAGAACCAATCATTTTGTGGTGCTAAGTAGTTTGTAAAACTAGTCTTGTGACTTCTATCAGTGTCCAGCAGAGCACTGGTTAAAGCCCCCTACCCACCTCCGAGCTCCGGCCCTTGGTTCTGCTCCTACCCACCTCCCAGTACCGCCCCACTTAGGAGACACAGAACCATTCATTTTGTGGTGCTAAGTAGTTTGTAAAACTAGTCTTGTGACTTCTATCAGTGTCCAGCAGAGCACTGGTTAAAGCCCCCTACCCACCTCCGAGCTCCAGCCCTTGGTTCCGCTCCTACCAGGGGAGGACTGACCATTTGGAAACTCGGGCGCTGCCCGAAGGCCCGGGGTCAGTAGGGGGCCCTATGAAATGCCCCTGGTACCTTTATCATAGGCTTTTTTTTGAGTTTGGGCAAGGACACAGGGGCCCCATGATCCCCTATTGCCCGGGTGCCCCATGAGTTGTCAGTCCGCCCCTGGCTCCTACCCACCTCCCAGTACTGTCCCACTTAGGGGACACAGAACCATTCATTTTGTGGTGCTAAGTAGTTTGTAAAACTAGTCTTCTGACTTCTATCAGTGTCCGGCAGAGCACTGGTTAAAGCTTGTAGGAGGAGTTTCCATTCTGCTCTAACTGTCCTATGAGACTGCAGGAGCCCTTATCCTCTGTCTGGATGGTGCTGATTGGCCCTGTGCTGATCACATGCACCCTACCAAGGAAAAAAAAAAACTCTCTAGCAATACACACCAAACTAAGCATGTGCAGAGTGACTCCTAGGGCTCTGTACTGTCAGTAGATGGATTGGGGACAGTAGAAGGGGAGGATCAGAGAAGAGAGGATCAATTGGCCTTTTTACACAATACGGAGGATTAACCCCTTAGGTCCCACAGTGAGTATAACCAGCATGCTTTGCTGCATCTACAGACTGATTGTACTGTTGGGGGTTTAGTATCACTTTAAGTTGTGTGTTTTCCATTTGTGGCGCTCAGATACAGTTTAGTCTCATTTTAACATGTGACTCGCTACAAAGTGTTGCATTGCGTGGGGAAAAGGAGACTGAGGAAATGCTTCCTCCTGCCTGCAGCAGACTGATGACATCATCTCAGCAGCCGAGTCTGATGTCCTACAAAGTCACAATGTTGCAGTCCGATCCTTGGACAAGAGGAGACTGAGGAAATGCTTCCTCCTGCCTGCAGCAGACTGATGACACCATCTCAGCCTAGGCCGAGTCTGATGTCCTACAAAGTCACAATGTTGCAGCCTTATCCTCGGAGGAGAGGAGACCGAGGAAATGCTTCCTCCTGCCTGCAGCAGAGTGATGACATCATCTCAGCCTAGGCACAGTCACTGGCCTGGAGGAAGAGAAAGGACTAGCTTCCTGTCCCTAGGCGGAGCTGTAGACCCGACACTATATTTGTTTCAAGAATACTGAAGCCCGTTGTGCAGGAAATGCTTCACTCCAGGGTTTCGATCTGAAAAGCGATCCACATTTGGTTGGCTTTTCAAAGCCGTTTCCTCATTGAATGGGTTGCGTCCGGTGGATGTGCTGCCCATCAAGCGCACAATGTCGGGTCATGTGTGCCGGAAAAAGTTGAGCATTGCCACTGTGATGTGTGAGCACCCCCAGTCCATTGCTATTGCAGCTTATGTAGGGGGCGTTAAAACATGTGGGTCAATCACGCATTTTTATCGCCCCCCACTGTAAACTTAAACAAGCCTTTAATCTGATGTGTTTTTTGTTTGTCTCAGCCTATAGTCCTACTTTGATGATCCAGTCTTCGGACATCGGGGTAGAAGATTCCCAATCCAAGGTGGACAAGTCTCACTGTTACCCGCGGCCATGTCAGCTTATCACAGAATTCAGGTACGACAAAACTCCGCCGCGCCGATTTCCTCCGGCCCGTGAAAGCCCCAAACTGAAGGACTTCTAGTTTGCCCCCTGCATGGTTACCAGAAATTGTCATTTTGGTGAATAAAATCTTTGGTTTTTTTTTCATCCTTTGCTGCATCTCATCACTGCTGCATATCTCCCATATCCTCTTTGCAGACACTTCTCTAAATGTGCTCCAGTGATGACACAGCGTTTATAATAGGCAGAGCAGAGAGAACGGACTAACTGCCCTCTGACACCCCCAGTGACACCAATACATTGATCAGTGCTAATAAAAAGCACTGACACTGTACTAATGGCACTGGGCAGGAAGGGGTTAACATCTGGGGTCATCAAAGGGTTAACTGTGTGCTGCTTTACTGTGTCTTATGTGTGTGTTTTTACTGTGTCAGCATGCTGCTTTTGTATTGCTCTGCTAGGCAGAGCAATACAAAGCAGCATGTTTTGTGCTGACCGGAGAGATGTGTATTGTTTACATTACAAACCACTCCTCTGTCAGTGTTCCTCAGCAATTGCCGGGTGCCGGCGGCGAATCTCCAGCAGGACCGGGTGATTGACAGCTGTAGCTGTGTTTTGTATTTTTTTTTTTTTTTATTTTTTTTTTTTTTTTTTTTTTTTTATATTTTTTTTTTTTTTTTTTTTTTTTTTTTTTTTTTTTATTTTTTTTTGTTGTGTTTTTTTTTTTTATTTTTTTTGTTTTTTTTTTTTTTTTTTTTTTTGTTTTTTTTTTTTTTTTTTTATGTTTTTGGAGTATTTTTTATGATTTTGTGTGTGTTTTTTTTTTTTTGTTTGTGTTATTTACTTTGTTTTTGTGTGTAATATTTACTTTGTATTTGTGTTTTTTATATATATTTTACTTGTTATAATTTATATGTTTATATTTTTGTATTTTTGTATTTTTTTTTATTTTTATGTTTGTTTTTTTATAATTTTTTAATTTTGTTTGTTGTGTTTTTTGTATTTATATTGTTTTTTTTGTATTTTTTTGTATGTGTTTTTATTTTTTTTTGTTATTTTTTGTTTGTATTTTTATATATGTGTGTTGTTTTTGTTTATATATTTATATGTTGTTGTTGTATATTTATTTGTATTTTGTGTTATACTTTTTTTGTGTTTATATATATATAATATAATTTTCGAAACCCAAATAATAATTGTTAATTTTGAGTTTAGATTTTTTTTTTAATTTTTAATATGCCCTTTTTATTTCTTTAATATTGTTTCCACATTTTTTTTTTTGGTATTTTTGATAATAATAATAATTTTGTTAATATTGAAATCTGAGCGGGGCATTTATTGAATGATATCTAAAACCCGAGTATTTAATATTTTTTTGAGTATTTATTTTTTAATTTTACCCTGCTTTTGGTTATGTTTTTCTTAGTTTTTATTTTTTCACATTTAAAAAAAAAAAAAAAAATTACCGACTGCCCTATAGCAGAAATACTTACAGGGCGGCACGTATGTTATGTCTCTCCAATCTAAGCATTGACAGTGTGATCTCTGTTAACTTACAGTTGTGATGAGATTTTGCGATAACTTCAACCTCAGCTGGATTTACAGTCAGTGACAATCAATTATTTTTAAGACCTTTGTTTTTTCAGTTTTGTGAAGTTTATTTTTTTTATAAACCGAGAGAAATCTTACAAACAATAACATTAT